TTTATTGGTTTGATTCCTATTTTGTTGTGTTTTCTGGATATATTTGAGTTGTTATGCTTTTCTTTGTTGCCCCCTGTTGCCCTCTTGTGTTGGTCTCCTTTTCCCTTGCTCCTTTCTAGAACCCTTTGTTTACACCTGCTCCCAATCAGCTCGTTAGTCCTGTCTTTGTTCAGTCAGCCATAAATACTCTCCCTGTGCAGTTCCTCAGTGCTGGTTACTCGTCCATGTTTTCACTGATGACTCCATGGTTCTGGTTTGTTTGGATTTTTGTGTTTGGTTTGTGTTTGGATTCCTGCCTCTATTACCTGTTGAGAACTTAATTAAAACTAAAAGAACTCACCTCTGCCTAACCGCCTCTGCATTTGGGTGCTAAAAAACCTCAACCAAACCCTGACAGTGTGAGCTGATACTAGTGCTTCCCTCAGCGACCTGGGAAGATGGAAGTCCTGCTTGGATAAACGCAGGTTGCGTGAACCTGTCCATGTTGAGCAAGCATGAAGCGAGAGTGGAGAGGAAATACGTACTCCCCTTTGCGAAGAAACCTCTGGCAGAGCCAGGCTCAACATGGCAGTCTTCTAGCAGGGGAACGCAGTAAGAGTAAGAGTCCAGGAGGAATGACACTCTGATAGGGACGAGGTTGAAGAAGCACCATGGAAAAGCTTTAGCTTCGATGTTGGAGAAGGGGATGGAGGTGGGTTTAATCAGGCTCATCTGAATGAAGTCAGAAATAGAGCAAACCACTCCCTGCGCTTTGGATGAGTAGCAGACTGAGTTGTGGATTTAAAGACCTTTTAAGATGAAATGTGGATGCTGATTGGGCTTGGAGGTGTGTTTCAAAGCTGATTGGCCTGTCAGAGGCGGATGATGGTAAGTAATTCAGTTACTTCAGTTGAACTTCCACCTAGGCTTCTTTTAACAGGGAGAAATGTTTTAGCAAAACCAGCCAGATGACTGGAGGCTTTAGTGGGTAGGAAATAAACAATGATAAGATTAGTAACAAATTGGTGTTAAGCGGAAGATACAAAGAAAATATTTCCTGACATTGTAATCATTGTCGGAAACGTTTTACATGAGTCAGAAACCTGTTGAGTGACATGTTTTGTACATTCACTAACAGTATCTCCTGCATGCCTGTTTTTTTTTTTTTTTTCCACCAATCTTCAAATCAGTTTTAAAGATTTCTTTAATTTGAGGATATCAGTTATTCTTAGAGTTGAGTTGAGAGGGTCTACCTGGTCTGGGTGCCATGCTGATGAAGACAAAAATCAGGTTTGTGCTAAAAAGTAGGATAGAGCATCAGTGCTTTAATAGTTGCATCATTGTTTAACTTTAGCAGCTGAAACTCACTCTGCAGCAGCGTCCCCAGAGAGATGGAAAATCTGAGTGACACCAAATGCCACTGCTAGTTCTTAGGACAGCTTTTCTCCCTGCTTAGTAGGACAAAGAGCTTCAGTGTTAGACAGTTTTGTTTTTTATCAGGGTAAAACTTATAAGCAATTATTGCACTCAACAGCATCTTTATTAGGTACACCTGCTCATTCTTTATAAATATAGAGAGGAAACCAGGAAGTGACCATTAGTCAGTGCATTTAAGGATCTCCTTCCACCCATGGACATGGACAATACACGCACCTTAGTTTAGTTTTGTCTTCAATTTAATGTTTCACTTTCAGTGCTATATTCAATAACTCAGTGCAATATATATTTAATGATGTTACTTCTTCAATAACCCAGTGCAATATATATGTATATATATATACTCTTACCCTGTATATAGATAGCTCTTACTTATAGAAAACATATTTATTGTGCATGAATAAGGTCTTAGCTCTGTTACACTGGTAGCCAAGTAATCGACATTTCGTTGTCAAGACTCACCTTGTGTTTTTTGTGCAATGACAATAAAGGAAGTCTAAGTCTCTAAATGTGAGGAAGTTTTTTTTGCTGAATTTCAAGCATCAGAAGGGAGAAGAAACAAGCTGTTATCTGGTTTTAATTTCCTCAAATCCAGCATTTTATTTTGGTGGTTTAAAGGATAATACCCATATGAGGACCAAGATAAAACCTATTCTGTCACTGAATTTGCCTTAAATTGGCCAAACATAAGTGTAGTTACATTTATTATTTGATGGAAATATTTGAAAGACCTAAAAGTGCTGAGTAGTTGAGCCTAAAATAGGTTTTGTTTCCTTTTAACAACATTATTTCCTTGTTTTTCTCCAAATATTTTAACCATGACATAGTTGACACTAGAACTATTTTTAGAGAGGTCCTTTTCCCTAATAGTCAAACATTAATTCACTGACCTCCTTGGTTTGGTTTGCAGGAATAAAGGGTATTTACTTTGGAACCTTTGCTACTGTTAAATGAGGATCTTGCACAAATGTATTACAGCAAAAGTTCTGTTACCTGCAGGTTTTCTCTGAGTTCTGTCCAGCACAAAGACATTTCCTCTTAAACCATGTAAAGTAGAAGGTTTTCTTAGCAAGCTTTCTTTGCTGGATTGCTTCAGTTCAGCTCACCAGAACCTTATAAGACACAGGTGTCCTAATGGGTCCAGGGTGTCAGGGGAAGCAGGCTTCTGTTGCTGCAGCTTAGCCCTCAGCAGGAGCTGGAGCCCAGGCTGGATCGGTGCCAGTCTTTCACATGGTGTTCTGTTGTTTTAGACATGTCATGATAGCCCCTGGTGCCTGATTAAAAACATGTTGAACTTGCTGGTTCTATTCTGGGTGGAGGAGGGCAAAGCCCAGCAAAAACATTCAACCTGTATGAAGCAGAAGAGGCAGCCAGATTGAATATAATGAGTCCATTCTTAACAGGTTCCCTGGAGGAACTTTACATCCTAAACTTTGATGGTGCTGTTTGTATAGGTAAAATTATGTAGACTTTCTGCAGTAAGCGAATGATCTAAAGCCCGGGTTTGTTAAAGAATAGTTCCAGTGTTGCAATATTTGAGGAAACATTGAGAGCCTGTGTATTGTTTTCCTTTATTTTCCTACCGATTTTATTGGACAATCCCGCCTCTAAAAGTTCCGGTTTGCCCTGACTCCACACTGCGCCCCTCTGATTCCAGAACTTCCCTCATCCTCTCTAACCTGAACCAGATGCAAACTTTTCTACATAAATCTTTACCTGCAAGGAATTTATTTAAAAACAAGACCCATTTCCTATTTATATGACACCCACTGCAATATGGACAGTACAGTATATGGTCCATATGTCCCAATGCTGCCTACTGCTGTATGCCTGATTCTTGTTCTATAAGCTACAATAACCTTCCTACTGTAAATGTTGCACCCTTTTGATAAAAACACCTCTCCTAAACTGTGGATTTATCAAAAACGTAGCCAGATAAAAACAAAACAAAAAACAGAACAAGAACTGGAACCAACAAATCTTTATTAAATATAATGCTAATTATCCAGGTGTTCAATGAATTTGTCTAGTTGTCCATTCGTTCATCCATCCCTGTTAGATCCAAGGTATCCTATCTCCTAGGGAAACCAGGTGGTTGGGGCCTAAAGTGTAAACCAACACATCTAACTGATTTTATTCCGACTCATGTCACATCTACTCTCCTTATTCAGATGATAACCAATATTTTAGGGCCAGCTAAGCAATCTATAGGCTGCTTATTTCAGTTGATTGCTTTGTGGATCTCGTTCTCTCCATCAGGAACTCATGAGAATACATGAGAATCATAAAGGTTTTCCTGTATACTTTGCAATCAAACAAGTGAATAGCATGTTGAACATGACTTCTGTAGAAAGTGTGTCTGCAGGATCGTGTCCCAAGTGAAGAACTCTACTTTATTCTCTAGTAGCATTTACAGTGAAAGTTATTTAACATCAGCTGGAAACTAGGAATTTTCTCCACCTCTGCAAAGTTATTGAGTGTCTATCATCAATTTCTTCTGCTTCACCTCCTTCAGAACCTGTAGAGAGCCCAGGGCCGGCATTGGTCCCAATAGACATGTACTCCCATAGCGAAGTGCTGTAACAATCGCAGTTCGGTTCTTAAGTTCAGCTTTTTCCATCCTAAAGAAAAAAATATTTTTCAATTAGAGCTGCTTTAAGCAGCCCTGCGATTGCTTCAAGCACGCCTGCACCCAGCTGAACAAAGACCAACCCGAGTGGTTGCCACTCCCCGACAGACAGGTGTTAAACAACATTCTGCAACCCATCATATGTTGTGATTCAAGTGTGTGCTTTTACGGATTGTCCTTGTACTATAATGACTGACAAAATAACATGGTCACAGAATGTTTGGCTTAGGTTTACACTGAAGAAAGGTAGAGCTTAAACACGAACTTTACATTATTTTAAACTTCAGAAACTGTTGTTTAAAGCACTGAGTGTTTTTTTTATATCTGAGATTTGCTAATTGTCTATGAAACAAAAATAGTTTTCGTAATCAATTTTTTTTTTTTTTAACCTATTTTTCTCCAATTACTTTCTGCCAACCTGTTCAGACTTCGCTCATGACGCATCACAGGTGTTTCACCCAGGTTATCTAGGTGACTTCTGCGGCTAGAATTTAGTTTGGAGGGATTTTATTGCATGCAACACTTTTTGGTGTTTTCTGTACATGGAACTTAAAAGTTTGTATGCATTTTCTCGCACTAATACAACAATCCTGTACATAGATGGTTGTGTTAGTAGCATGAAAAATTAAAAGAAAAATCAGAAAGCATTAATATTTCTGCAGAGTAGGCCTACTCAAGAAACTCTTGACAAATTCTTCTAAATACTATTATTTGATTTATTCCTTAATCATAATTTTAGACTAAAGTTTGTACAAACACTTACAGCTGAGTCTCCGTAATCAGTTTTTCCGGATGGTGGCTGTTGTACCTTCCAGAGGAGTTCACGCCCCTTCGCTCTGCTCTCTCGTGGTGCATTTCTGACAGGAGGGAAGGGGAGGGAGCCGTGGCTGCATGTGGGAGGAGAAGGAGGAGGGAGTGAGCAGGAGGAAGGAGAAGCCCTCTCAGTTTCTGGGAGTTCTCCTTACTGAAGGCCACAGAATGAGCGCAGTTGCTTTCCTCTCAGTCTGAGAGGCAGCTGCAGGTTCTCTTTTGCTTTGGCTCAGATTTTTCTGCCAGGCTTCAGAGGAGGACCCAGCAGATTTGCCTTCCTTTTTTTTTGGAGTTTTCTTTGAACTTTTTCTCCCACCACACTGCTGTTGCCTGGGAAGTACAATGCCTGTAGTTGGAGTGGCTTCCAAGTTAAGGCAACCCTCCACGGTGGGCACCAAGCCGGTGCACACTGCCCTCCCTATCCCCAGTGCTGTCAGAGCAGCCGCCTCGCAGGGCTTCATGGCCCGGCAGCAGGAACTCAGGGCAAAAGACGGAGCCCCGGCGCTCAACTGCCAGCTTTCAGTCAGGTCGGACTACCAGCAGGAAAAGATGCCGGCAGGAAAGTCCAAAGCAGAAACCGAGGAGAGCAAGATCTGCAAGGTTAGTGAAGATGAACACTTGTTGCACATCAGTTTGATGTGGAGGCAGCGCAGGTGTCAGACTTGTAGGACAAGCCGTCTGTGGTCTTGTCAGGCTGTCTGCTCCCTCTGGGCTGGAGCAGGTGTCTGTCCTCCTCTGAAGCAAACCTCTACACAGCAATGAGTCATTTCTGCTGTGCTGGGATGTTTGTCGTATCATCAAATAAGAGGGGAAAGTATATGACTAATGGATAACTGGCTGTGTCTGTGACTCATCTATTTGCCCATTTTGCTTTGTTTTAGGGATAGAGTGGAATTAAAAGATTTTAATATCCAGGAACCTTTTCAGATGTAGAGAACATCTCTCTCTGTTTTTTATCGAACATGCCTGTATATGTTTCAAATACAGTTCACTGCAGATCTATCATTCCTGAAGCATGTTTTGTCTCCATTGAATCTGTTCTTAAAAAGGCCCAAGCCTTCCCTTTTCCAGTTTTTTTCTGGTTCACTTTCTAAGGCTGCAGCAGAGGAGTGGAGGGAGGAGATTTCAAACCTCCGCGCCAAATGCTTTCATCAGCTCAGCAGCCATCCCACTTTCAGAGCTGTCAGAGCGCAAGCTGATACTTTCCTGTTTGGTTAGCTAATCTCTGCTCCTTCCTCCACCTGTCCACAGCCGTCAGCTCTTTGTGTTTATACCAAAATAAACCGGAAAGAAAAAAAACATTTTGTTTTTCAAATCTGGATTGTGTTTTGGGCATTGGAACAAAGGTGCAGATTTTTCTCCTGGCCCGAGGGAAACACAACTACGACTCAATGCTCTACCGCTGTTAAATCCTCCCAGCGTGTCTGTGACCGAGTCCACCTCGCCTGCAGGGTTACTGCAGCCTGAGCTTAGAGGTCATGGGAGTCCATCATTAACATGTCGCTAAACCAACAGTATGATCACGACTTTTAATTTAAAACTCAATTTGGTGAAATAAATTTAAATATTTTTGTTTTTAACTGGTCCCACTAGATGCTCCTATTTACCAGACGAAGAGTTAAAGATTGAGCAAATACTCAGAGCGCTTTAAGGCTAACAGCTAGTCATATTAGTGTGCCGATTGAAAAGAATTGTAATAACAAACATCTTTAACCAGATACTATATTAATTTGAATATTGAAAATTCAAAAGTCTGCTAAGCTTGTAAAGTCATCTCAGCCAAACAGTTTTGCGTATTAAACTAATAATAATCAGTTTAGCATTTCCTGGCATTATTGATTGATTAAGTTCTTTTTCTTTTTAGGCCCATGATTTTTTATTTATTGCACATTTTTCATTTATTGCACATTTAACTGCATAAAAATATTTGAAAAGCAAAATGTGACTTATTGATTAATTGATTGAAAGAAATTGGTCTATATTTTCAAATATAGCATCAAATTCAGCAAATAAATAAATTCTGCTGGTAGTTTTACACTGATCTTAGAATCTCTTTATTTTTTTTTTAGAAACTCACTAAAATATGGCATCTCTCTCATCGAATTTAATGAATACAGGAAAGAACTTATGTTATGTTCTTATATACTATATCGTTAGCCCATCATCCTCATTAACGCAGTTTTAAACAGTGTGCAAACCTGTCATTTGTTTGTTTTGTTTTTTCCCAATACCGGTACCTAATATTCCTTGCAGTTTAAATTTCCATTGAATGAGCATTGGCTTAATTACCTTTGAAATGAAATCAGTTACCGTGGGCAGGAGAAAATCTCCAACCTGCCCCAGCCTGTCAGTGTGGTTAAGGAATGGGTGGTATGGAGGAGTAATTAGTCTGTCTAATTGTGTTCTGTATCCTTTAAGAACCTATGAACTCTCCTGTCTTTCAGAGGATGGACTGAATGTATTTCATCACTTGTTGAAATTCACCAACCCTCCTTGTTTGGTTTAAATATCACTCGGGATCAAGTGTAGGACTGTCTTTGTGTGTGTGTGTGTGTGTGTGTGTGTGTGTATAGGGGTGCAAAATCTGAGTCCCTGCTTGTTTGTTCACATGCAACCCCCACCTCTGCATATACAATAGTGCCAGCAAGTGGTGGCTTGTTTGCCAAAGGTTCAGTTCATCCTTACTTTAGTCGTATTTTCCAGGGTTGAAGCTCCCCACAAACATTTCTGAATGCTGCGCTGGAAATTTCCACCTTTTTGCTGAGTAAATATGGGATTTGACCCGTAGCAGAGACGTGCCTTAGAATGACTTAAGACTAGAGTTCTTTAATCGGTTTTATTATAACCGGGGATAAACGATTCACCAGCAGAGTCACGTGGCAACACATGCAACTCTGAAGCAGGATGACAAAATATGACTGCTGACTTTTTTAAGCTTTTCCCGGAGAAGAACAGTTTATTTTTGTATGTGTGAAGACCAAAGTTGTAGGGAATCTTTTTTGAGTTTCAAATCAGGGGAGTGGCGGCCTAACGGTTATGGCATAGAGCTTGGAATCCTCAGGTTCTTAGTTTGAGGCCCACTCCCATAGACATGCCACTCGATCCCTGAGCGAGACCCTTAAACCCACACTCCTCCCTGGGCACCACACGATGGCAACCCAAGGGGATGGGTTAAATGCAGAGAGTGATTTTCATTGCTCTGTACTTGTGACAGTGTAATGACAATAAAAGCTGGAGGAAAAACTCTTTTGAACAGTGTTTAATAGCGACTTGCAACCACAAGGAGACTTGGAGAAATATCTGACAATGTCTAATGTCACAGTTCATTGTTAATGACATAAACAATGAACAGAACCGCCCTTGTCATCTTAAATAGTAATACCTCCTCAACGACCGACCCTTAACAATCATAGACAGGTTTCAGGTATTACAGGAGACAATCCCCCCTTTAACGGCAATCCCCCCCTTTAACGACCGACCTTCAGAATCATAGACAGGTTTCAGATATTACGGGCTAACAATGGAACCAAACGACCCACTAATCGGTTCCCATTTGCATGTTTCCAAGCAATGCCAGGCCTTGTCTATATATAGACTCAAACTCACTGCGAATCCAGACATTTGAATTGAGAAAGCTTCCTGGAGAGGTGGTGAAACGTCTTCAAATCTTGGAAACCAAGTCCAGTGGATTTTTTTGAACTTTTACAGAAAAAATAGTAATTTTGTATGCAAAATTTGACTGATAAATGATCTGAGAACACAGAAATTAGTAAGGTGAGCTAGCATCAAGGATGCTACATACCCTAAGAGAACCAGTTGTTATCAAGGTTGAAAGAATAAGAAAATTGTTGCAGTTTTTGCATTGCTTTTAGATTCCAGGTAAGTATTGATCATAATTAAGCCACTAAAGAAGCCTTCCGTGTCTTTGATGGTACTGTGCAACAGCTTCTCTCATCAAAGGCTTACTCTTAATCTCCTCATGATTTAAAACTGTCAAATTTTCTCGTTTGCTATCCTTGATGCAAATGAGGAAAAAGGTGAGACATTGGATTCCTCCTGTTGTTACTTACGCTGACAATTCACATCATTCACTGCTAGTGGCACAGAAGGATGACAGGCAATGAAGAAGCTTTCATGGGTCTAGACACTTTAATGGTATTGGATTGTATATCATGAGTTTTGAAGTTTTCTCCAAATCAAGGTCTCTTATCAAATATTTGACGTGTAGATTAACTAAATGAAGTTATTTGGAAGTCATATTTTAACTTTTCTCATTCACAACCCATGATATTTGTTTACTTTTACTTCAAATAGTCAGCTTTCTGCTGTTAATCCATTTTCTTCCCCAAGTGAACAAAATTATACTCCATAGGGTAAACATGGCCCTTATCTAAAAGCATTTTCAAGCAAGTCATGACTGTTGTAGCGGCTACTTTTGTGGCTCTTTGATGTTTAAGAAATGTTTTCCTGCAAAGGACGCAAGTATTCACCAAAGAGGGAGACGGGTGCCAGACACACTCGCTCACTTGATGAACAAAAAACATCCTGTTGATCCTGTGTGTATGTTTGTGTTTGTGCAGAGGATGCTCTAATTACTGCAGAAAACAATCCGGACCTCTTGTTGTGTATTTTCTCATTTGGTGCATTTCCTGCTCCTGTCCAGATAGACCTCTGCACTACTAAATGAGCATGTTCAAACTAAGTGCAGTAGGGTGAAGTGTCACTGGTCCAGTGACTTGAATGGGTAGAATGTAAACAATAGTGGTTCTTTTTCTGGGTGGCCCTTACTGTGTGTGCTTGCAATAACTGGAAGCAACCTGTTATCCATCTTGATTCTGAGAAACAAATTGGCCACTATTAGCATTCTATGAGAGAATTGTTCATTTAATGGTGTCAAGGCATGGATCAGTAGATCATTTTCACAAAATCATGGTAAAACATGGTGGTGGGACCATCAGGCTGTGGAGATACAGTTAATAATGTTGGGGATTCATCATCCTTTTGCTGTTATAAATCTGTTTGTGTTAAGTGAGAAGCAACAAGTTGGGGAGGGGCAGCACTGCATTTGACTCCATGCCGCCAAATGTTAAGTGGTGGGAACACAATGATGGAAACGTATGACACTGGTGAACCAACAGAGAGGTCAGATGGAGTCAAGGATGGCCAGCTTGTTGCAGCAGGAGGAAATGGATTAATCCAGATCAGTTTAAGAGGATGTCTGAGCACGTTCTGGCCATGGGGGGGGGGGGGGGGGGGGGGGGGGGGGTCTGACTCAGCGAGTGCTTACTTCCATGTCTGGAAGAAAAGCTGTCACTAGAGGAAAGTGTGAATTCTAATAAGCTAATGGATCTATTTACAGCTGAACCATTCACAAAGCCTTGAGCCATTGGCTTTTCTTTACTCTATGTTGAAATTAAAATATCTAAAAATACATGATTTGTATTGATCCATTCTGTTGTATTCAAAGTACATTGTAGTTTACAAAAACACTTTCCAGACACAAAACAACCCCTGAAAGCTACACACAGATGCTGCAAGACAAACCTCTTTCCCAACCACAATGTGTGTAGCATTAGCTTGTGTCTATTAAAGGCCAAATA